TATATATATATATATGATGTATAGCGTTATGATTTGTCTGTATACCTGTCTGTTGTTGCAGTATGTGTTTGACTACACACCTGGAGATGTGTTTGGCTGTGTTGCTGACATCGGTTGGATTACGGGTCACAGTTATGTGGTGTACGGACCCCTGTGTAACGGAGCCACATCTGTTCTGTTTGAGAGCACACCTGTGTACCCTAATCCAGGTGAGATATCAAGCGAAATGACCAATACTAATGATCCGTGCAGTATATATAATGCATACACTCTATCTCGTTTTCAGTTTCAATTTCAGTTTTATTGTAGTGGTTTATCGGCATGATGAATAATTTGCATTTGTATTGCCAACACATTGCACCTTATCTGCCAAAAATAAAAGCAATTTAAATAAAGTTGATTAGAAAAAAATTCCAAATGCATCACATCCTGTTTAATTCTCTCTTTAGTGGAGGGTTTTAGAGACACAGCTATTCAGTCCTGAAGTTTAGTAGTTGTGTCGGTCATGTTCCTGCTCTCATCCATTCTGATAGAGGTGATGACCCCTCTAGATCATGCCAGATAGTGTTACTGTCCCTCCCAGCCCTTCAAATTGAATGAGATAAAATCTCAGATAAAATCATGTGACACATTAACCTGTATAGCGAGTCTTATCTGCCTTTATGAGAGTATTTTAATGGAAATGAGCCCTCATGAGTGGCTGTAAAGCAGTGTACTCTTTACAGTGTGACATCTACTGGAAACATTTCCGCTGATGTTCTCCTAGTAAAACCTACTTAAATCTGGTTTTCAAAAACTGGTATCAATTAGGAAACATTTTTGTGTAACGTTTGTAGTCATAATTACTGTTGATGTTCATGTTTAAACACTTTTTTTGTGGTTTCATAACATGTGTTCTGTTGAAGTGCTGTCTCTGGTTGTAAATCAGTAAATAATCTTTGTCTTGACTGTTCGAATGTGTTTTGTGACTGTTTTTAGGTCGTTACTGGGAGACAGTTCAGAGGTTAAGAATAAATCAGTTTTATGGAGCTCCTACTGCCATCAGATTACTTCTGAAATATGAGGAAAACTGGGTGAAGAAATATGACAGGTCATCACTGAAGACACTTGCATCTGGTGAGACTACAGAGGTTTAGTAAATAAATGCAAATAAATAAATACAGATATTGTAATGTTTTGGAGGTATGTTATATTTTTGGGTATAGTATGCTACCATTGAAAAGTTTGGGGTCATTAAGATTTTAAAAAGAAAACATTTATTTGCAAGAATGCATTAAAGGGGTCATATGATGCTATTTTAAAGATCATTATTTTGTGTATTTGGTGTAACAGAATATGTTGATCAAAAGTGATAAAGACATTTATAATGCTAAAAAAATTATATTTGCTGTTCTTTTGAACTTTACATTCATCAGAGAATCCTGAAAAATGTATTATGGTTTCTACAAAAATATTAAGCATCACAACTGTTTTTAACATTCATAATAATAATAAATATTTCTTGAGCATCAAATCAGCATATTAGAATGATTTCTGAAGGATCATGTAACACTGAAGACTAACAGTTCTAACAGTTTGTTTAAATTGTAATATTTCACATTTTTACTGTTTTTACTGTATTTTTGATCAAATAAATGCAGCCTTGGTGAGCATAAGATACTTACCATCCACAAACTTTTGAAGGGTAGTGTATATTAAACACATTCCCATTTTATCTACAATTGCCTTCTATATTATTTGACACTCTCCTTAGCTTTTCCACATATCAAACAAAAATAAAATTGACCTGTTATCAAAAAACATTGTTTTAATGTGAATTGTATCAACTTTTTCTGAAAGTCTGTGTGCATTTTTAGCAACGTATTACGACTTACCCCCAGGTTACTTCAGGGGGATACTTTCTGTCATAAGAGGGATAAGTGCATTGCAAGGGCACGATAGGGAAGGGGAACTAATCAACTTTTCAATGTGGGTCACCCTTTTCAGACCTTTGTGTTACCAGCCCAGAAATTGTACTTCCGCCACCATGGTATAGTCAGCTCTTTATGGGAGAGAGTTCAGCCACAGTTAAAATTTAGCCTGCTTACTCTGGAGGATTTTTAATGAGTCTAGTCACACAGCCTTTGAGATCAACAATGGAAAATCTGACTTTGTGCCAAACATCAAGGACACTAGATTGTGTGCGCAGCCGGTCTGGGTTTTGTTTTTCCCTTTAGGGCCTGTCAGTTGAAAAGATAGGGCTAAGATTTCCTTGAATTGCCAAGTCACTCAATCAAATCAACTTAGAGACAAGTTTTTAAGTGCAGTGTTTTGGTCGATGAATTTGCCTATATAAATGACCATGTGAATGTGTGATCTGTTGGCAGTTGGAGAGCCCATTAATCACGAGGCATGGGAATGGTTCCATAATGTGGTCGGGGATGGACGGTGCCCTCTGGTGGACACATGGTGGCAGACAGGTAAAATTAACTCTGCACGAGACTGTCAATCGCTGCATCTCTTCTTGTCTGAGTATCGTACCCTTAATCCTTAGATTGGCAGCACTGATAGGATGATTTACACCATGTGTGATGTTATTCAGAAATAAATAGATGATTCACTGGGCTCTCTGTCTTCAGAAACTGGCGGGGTGTGTATTGCCCCACTCCCAGCTGAACCAGGAGCAGAGATCCGGCCTGCCATGGCTATGAGACCCTTTTTTGGCATCCAGCCGGCACTACTCGGGGAGAAGGTGATCTATACTTGTTTATTTGTGTCCTGACTCACCGCTTGGTCACTTGTCACAACTGTCAGATATGAAGTGACATTGCAAGGAAATTTTAAGAAATAAAGTAGCGATTGTGAGATATAGTTGTAATCTGAAATAGAAATTGACAATTGTGAGATGTAGTAATATTATAAAATATAAAGTTAAAATTTTGGAAAAAGTCATAATTGTGAGGAATGAAGTTTCAGTTGAGATATAATAATCTAAAATATAAATGTAAAATTGTAAAATAAAATTTCATAATTGTGAGAAATAAATTTGCAATTGTAAGATATAGACGTAATCTGAAATAAAGTTAAAATCGCAAATTAAAAGTCACAATTGTTAGAAATAAAAGTGCAACCATGAGATATAGTTGTCTAAAATAAAAAAAGTATAGCTGTGAAATAAAAAGTCATAATTGTGAGATATAAAGCTGCAATTATAGAAAATAAAGCACAATTGTGAGATATAGTCATAAACTGAAAAATGGGTACAATTGTGAAATAAAAAGACATTTGCGAGATTGTAAGATATAAAGCCCCATTTGCAAGAAATAGGCACAATTGTGAAATATAGTAGTAATCTGTGAAATTAAAAAGTCACAATCATAAAAAAGTGACTGTTTAGAGATAAACAGTGATAAACATATGTAGGGAGGCCAACCAGTTGGAGTGGAAAAAGGAAATGACGTCTTCTTCCTCAGACATAGGTTCTAGTTGTGTGGAACGAGCATACCACTTCTTCAACATGTTAACATGGAAGAGTTGTAAGGGCTGGGTCCTGGATCCATAATGGAGGCATAATGTAAAATACAAACTCACACTGTGAGACTTGTCAATTATAACAAATAAAGTCACAGTCGTTATATGTAATGTCCCAGTGTGATATATAAAGTTACAGTTGTGAAACAAAGTCACATTGTGAAATATAAAGTCAATTACGACAAATTAATTCTAATTAGCTCTTTACTTCCTGTTTTTTCTTGTATAGTTAACAACTGTTCTAGATAATTGCTAGCAGACTGTCCTAATCAGACCTAAACATGGGTTATATTTGTCTTTTGCTCCGCCTGGCTCTGCCTGGATCCATGCGTCCAGCCTCTCCTGCTGTGATTAAAGAAAGCTTTGTGTGACAGACAGTGATGAACTTTGAGCCCTCAAATTCTGTACTGCATCTGGAAAAAAAAGAGTAATAATGCGTGCTGGAACACATCCAATCTCCTCGGAGATGCTCTTTTGTTACCCTCCGGGGCTATTCAAATAGATTTTTACCCCCTCCCATTAAGATCAACCAAGGAGAGACAGGACCTCTCAGTGCACGTGTTTTTTGTAATGTAGAATAATCAATTTTGCTTTATTAACAGGGACAGATAATAACGGGAAATGATGTCAGTGGAGCTCTGTGCATCAGCCAGCCTTGGCCTGGAATGGCCAGAACCATATTTGGAAACCACCAGAGATTCATGGATGCATATTTTAAACCGTACCAAGGTGAGCAAGACCCCAGAGGCTCTTGAAGCACCTTCTTGCTATGAAAGTTATGAAACAGAAAAGTTGGGATACTTGTTGAATTATTTAACTGTTCTTTTTGACTTTGACTTCAATGCGAGGGCATGAGAGGAACGTTAGCAAGCCCTAGCTGGGAAAATGTCAAAATAATCTGTTTGGATTTTTCAAATGTGCCTTCTGTTGTTGTAGATTGTACTTTTTTTTACTCCATAAAAAGTTTAAAATAAAGTTAACATGATAGTGATCAGAGGTATAAGCTAGTATAATGGTGTAAACTGTCATAGGTCAGTATTTTACGGGTGATGGGGCGTACCGCACTGAAGACGGTTACTACCAGATCACAGGGCGGATGGATGACGTCATTAATATCAGTGGGCATCGGCTGGGCACTGCTGAGATAGAAGATGCACTGGTGAGACCCCAAGATCCTTTATCACAAGCATAATTCAGCATTCTTGAGCCCAATGCCTTCTTTCAAATCATTTGAATATCCCCACACTACAATAATTGGGCAAATTAATCAGACCCGATACAAAATGTATACAAAAGTGTTCTATAGAGAGTCTGTATTTACAGAGCTGTGCAAATACACTACTGTTACTCTAAAAGTTTGGGGTCAGTAAAGGCCCGTTCACACCAAGAACGATAACTATAAAGATAATAGTTTTATTCCAAGCGCACCCTCGTCTGCCGCTTTAAATTCTCGAGCTCGTTATAGCAGGATTTATTCTGATAGGCTGTCAATGTTTTTATCGTTCATCAGCTGGACAAAATCGTTCTGAAAGTGATTCCAATGATATCGTTTCTCTGTGCCTTTATCGTTATAGCTGTGGTGTGGACTGTGCTATTCTTTAATATTGAGAATGATTTTTAGAACTATATCTTTATTGTTATCTTTATAGTTATCGTCTTTGGTGTGAACATGCCATAAGATTTTCTTCTTAATTTTCTATTTAATTCAGAAATGACTAAATGCATTTATAATGTTGAAAAAGATTTCCATTTCAAATAAATGCTGTTCTTTTGAACTTTCTATTCATCAAAGAATCCTGAAAAATTGTATCAAAAATATTAAGCAGCACTATTTTTTACATTAATAATGAGAAGAAATGTTATAATGACAACTGGAGTTACAGCTGCTGAAAATTCAGCTTTGCATCACAGGAATAACTATATAAACTATATTAAAATAGTAATATTTTGAAATATTATTACAGTTCAAAATAACTGTTTACCGTTTTACTGATTTTTTTGATCAAACAAATGTAGCCTTGGTGAGCATAAGAGACTTTTTTCAAAAACACTGACCACAAACTTTTGAATGGTAGTGTAGAATCAAACTTTTGGTTGAGCATGTGTGTTCCTCTGTTACCAGGATGAACACCCAGATGTTCCTGAGACCGCAGTGATCGGAATTCCCCATGAGATCAAAGGAGAAGGTGAGGCTCCCGACGAGCCCTCGATTTGTTCTTCATCTCACCTTTTTCATTTATGAGCCATCTGGAAAACCCCCAGCAACCAGAGACCTTTTGACCCCTTCCACTGTGTGCTTTACAACACCCTTGGTCATTGTGAAAACAACATATAACTAATAAGCATAATTGACCATCACATAATCAGTGATCAATGCGGATCAGATTTTACTTTGCCGAATGTTGACATGTCTCTCACTTTCTTTTCCTGTCTTTCTCTTTCACCAGTTCCATTTGCGTTTGTAGTTTTAAAAGAATCTGCTTCTGAAAACCAGCAAGCTGTTGTGGAAGAGCTGAGACACCTAGTGGCTACCAGAATAGCTAAATATGCTGTCCCTGATCATTTCCTGGTAAAATCAGTGACTTTTTTTTATTGAACCTTATTTTACAGTGTTAACCCTTGATTTATATTATTCTTATGTCATTTACAAAGAATGTTTATGACTGATCACAGAACCGTTTTTCGTTTTAAAATCACTGTCTGTGCAGATCTGTTGCGCAGATGGTTTGGAGATTTATTTTGTCAGCTGTGAAAGCATCTCTTCTCTCTTTAAGGTTGTGAAGCGTCTTCCTAAGACACGCTCTGGGAAAATCATGAGGAGAATCTTGCGTAAGGTCGCCATGCAGGACACTAGCAACCTGGGGGACGTCTCCACGCTGGATGACCCCTCTGTCGTTTCAGAGATCATTGAGGCCCATAAACACTACAGAAGTCATGCAGCTAAGAAGTAGAAAAAGACTGTTGGGATGCCACAATGTTTATTTTGAGGAACTATGAATACGAAACTGTGATGACAGGGAAACTGTGTAAGTAATTCACATGTAAATGTGAGAGTACCATATGTTAGCAACACAGAATGGCTAAATTGCAGGTTAAATGCTCTCATATGTAGTAAAACTTGCTCACGAAACCCACCTAAACTGGATGTTAGCCCCTCTGTAAGACCGTTAGATGCCATTTAAGGTTTGTACAACTTGGACAAACCTCTTTTTAAACATTAATTATGAAGTTCTGCACAGTGTTCTTCCTGTAGCCAGAGACTAGGTGAGATTTGCTGATTTTATTTTTGTTAAAGGTGCTCAATCAGTTTGTGTTCCAGTAAATCTCACCTTTCTCATATTCTCTTTTTTTCTTCTTTGAATCCTCTTTGGAGTTTTATGCCTTCATTTCCTAATGTTTGTGACAAGATAAACATGAATTGACTGTGGTTAATAATTTTCAATCAGTATCACAATATTACTATATTATTATGACATGATGCCATTATATTATATATGCTTTGCATATTACTAAGTGGAAGTGTAAATGCTTCCATCTAATTCTTAGATTTTAATTTTATTGGAATAAAAAAACAACTCTATTTTGAACATTAAAAAAAGGTTTCAAAATATAATTTTGTCCGGCTGTGTGTTATTCTTCCATATATATATATTGTCTTACCGACTGTGAAATGTTTTCACACATTTGACTTAGCTTTTTAAGGTTATCCTGTATCATTTAGTTATTATTTTACAGTAGTAACCAGTTTGTATTGTGGCAGAAACTACAGTTAATATGATAAATGCGACTCTGCTAGTTTTGTGAATGCTAAACTTGATGCTTCTGACAAGACGTGCTACTACCGTGTCTTAAAGGGATAGTTCACCCAAAAATGAAAATTCTGTCATCATTTACTCACCCTCATGTCGTTCCTAACCTGTATGAGTTGCTTTCTTATGTTGAACACAAAAGAAGATATTTTGAAGATTGCTGGTAATCAAACAGTTGGTGGTTGCCATTGACTTCCATAGTAGGAAAAAAAATACTATGGAAGTCAATGGCAACCACCAACTGTTTGATTACCAGCAATCTTCAAAATATCTTCTTTTGTGTTCAACATAAGAAAGCAACTCATACAGGTTTGGAACGACATGAGGATCTTCAAAATATCTTCTTTTGTGTTCAACATAAGAAAGCAACTCAAACAGGTTTGGAACGACATGAGGGTGAGTAAATGATGACAGAATTTTCATTTTTGGGTGAACTATCCCTTTAAGGACTCTAAACGGATTCCATCCTGATGCCACTTTTCACCCAAACGGTGAAAGGTCAAGAACGGTGGCTTCACAATATCGCCATCTCCTGGTGAGACAGAAAACGTTGCAGTCTCGTTGTAAATCTCAAATATATTACCTAAATTATTACCTGAAGAAATCAAACTTTTTACATTACTTTTGAAGAACTAATGTACATAATTACTTCTCTCAGAAGTGAGAGATTTCATATTTTTATTTTGAAAATAAGCTGTTACATGACATAATACCAGGTTCCTGATACCCTCAGTAAGGTTCTTTTCCATTCTGATATTTCTGACAATAAGGAGTTAGATGATGTCTTAAACTTTATTTGTATGATGGGTAAATACCATATCCACAAAGCTAGATACCTTAAATTTAAACCCAGCTGCAAAATATTTGCTTCTGATCTACATTTACACTTCAGAAAGTCTCCTCTAATAAAAAAAGCTCTTAAGACATCTCGAATTATAGAACGGTTTTTAAGTACATTTTAATTTGTTATTTTTTCCCCTCTCTCCTCTGTATTCCCCCGTATGTTCTGTGTTCTTCGTTCTGTATTATTTGTTTCTTTTGTATTGAATTATATTTCTGCAATAAAAAAGGTTCCTGATACACAGGTAATACAATTTTAAAAACGCTTTTTAAATGCTTGTTTGCTTGTGTTGCGTTCTGTAAAATCCAAATAATGACACGGTCAGGCATCAGGTGACACTGAAAAAAAAGTTGGCAGAATGTAAAACATTTGTGAGCATCATTACGTTCAAAGGGTCTAAAAAGTGTTCTTGATGTATTTTACGAAGAACTGCCAACTATAAATGGAAGTGAAATTATCCGTTTAATTCCAGTGTGCCCCTGTGAAAGATGATGTCGTCTAAAGCTCCATACAAAAGGAAGCATTGCAAGCATTATTATTAGTCTGTTGCTGGAATATAAAAAAAATAACATTCAAGACCTGTCCGACCTCACCACGAAGCCCCGCCTACCAGTCGCTGTTGTTCTCCAATTAGAACGCGCTTTCTTTTTCATTTTATCCAATCGGAACTACGTTTGCTGCACGGACGTTCAGTGTGCGCACCTCTGATTGGTCGAGCGGCGTTCTGGTGTGACGCTAGGCTTTACGCCGACGTTGGGGGCGGAGAAGGAGGGGCGACTCTAATGGCGCATCGCAGTCCGACCGATCCAGCTCTCCACAAATAAACAACAGCAATATTTCACGATCTGGCCTAGTTTGTGCTTTTGCCAGTTGTACCGCGCTGCAGCCGTGCTGCAGCACTTTTGCTCATTGAGCTGATCGCCTGGGCTTCTTTTTAGGGTCTGCTCGGAGCACAGAGGCCCAGAGGAAAGACGGCGGATCGGTGAGTGTGCAAACATATAACCATCTGTTAAATGAACAATGTTTCTGCTCGTGATGTTAGACATTAAAGTGTTTGTTCACCCCAAATTACACCTTCTGTTATCATTTAATCACCCCTGTGTTGCTTTAAACCTGCATGGCTTTATTTCTTTCGTGGAACACAAAAGAAAATGTTTGTGAGGGTCTGACAGCCTCAGTCACCATTGACTTTCAGTGCATCTTTTTCCATACAATGAAAGTGAATTGTGACTGAGGTGTCATTATGGTGTCAGTCTGCCTAAAATCTTCTTTTGTGTATCTCTGAAAAAAAAGAGAGTCTTGCAAGTTTGAAACAACGTAAGGGTGAGTGAATAATGATAATTTTAAATTATTTCGTGAACTATCCATATAATGGTTTCAGAAACATGTTGTTGAATAAATAAGTTGTGTGCCAGAAATATGCCCCTCAGTTCGTTTGTTTCCTTTTATGTTTTAAACCATCATTTACTATGGTAACCCTGTAAAGGCTGATGAAATAGTCAGAAATGTAACAGTTTATTGAACCTTTAAACAAAATATTCAAATTTAAAAAAGTTTTTCATATGTGTTTTATCATATTTGGTGTATCAGGCTTTTATGGCCCATGTAGTATTATAGTGAGAATATAGAGTGCTTGTGGAAAAACATTCCTTTTTTTTTTTTATTCAGAGACCCAAACTGAGCAAAAAATATACAGTTTGGTGCAGATGTTATTTATATGGTGAAAAGTAAGATTAAATTCTGATAGAGTATAATGTAAATCAATGAGATTTTTATAGGAGTATAACAGAGTACTTAAAATGTATATAAATATCGAGACAATATTAAAATGTTTAGTTTTATGATCAAAGCTCTTAGTTTTAATTGTAGGGGGCAAAACATATATTAAAACACAATATGATGATGATAGATGTACAAATAAACATTCCTCAAATGCCTCTTGTATCGTTGTGTTGATTCTTACATTCAAACATGAAAAAAAAAACAAGCATAATCAAGTAAGCCTAAGTTGCAAATCTTGAAATATTGCAAACAATATAAAAGTTATTGGTAAAAAAATATAAAGTGTGTTTTACAGCACATAGGCACATGTATCACAACCTGAAGATGTAAAAAAAATTGTATTAAGAGACTTTTTACTTGTTAAAAAAGATTGAACACATTCACAGTGTTGAAGGCATGTGGTAGATTGTGTGCAACATGTTGTCATGTTGATAATTTAGTGGACTTAGAAATTTATGTATTAAATATGATACAGTAGGCTTTATTGGGTTAAATTGAATGTATCATTGCATATTTATCTGTTTCAATCCCATTGTAGCTTTTAAAACAAGGTGTGATATGCACAAATCATCTGTTTGCTCCTACATGCTGAGATATTGACATGACCTTTAATTCCTCCATGTCTTCTGTTTCCCTATAGAGAATATGTAACAAACATCAACATGACATCCAGATTTAGTAAAACATATACACGGAAGGGAGGAGAGGCCAGCTCGAAGTTTGACGAAGTGTTTTCTAATAAGAAAGCTACGCTTAGCACCAAATGGGGAGAGACCACCTATAAGGCACAGTTGGGGGTCAAACGGCCCTCGTTCAAGCCAGAGGTTCCTGAGCTGACTAAACGACCCCGCTTTGATGATGACGACAGCTCAGAGGACCCGTTTGGCTTTGATAGCGACGATGAATCCAAAACTGTCACATCCAGAGGTACTCCACAATCTGAGTCGGGCTCAGATGCAGCAGGATCCGGGAACGAGCAGTTGAAGACCCAGGCAGAAAAGCCCAGTCAAGGCACAGCGGTGACTGCGGTGGGTACTTCCACCTTGGGCAGCAGCCCAAACATCAGCACCAGGGTGGTTGGTATGAATAGCCCAGGTAGGAAATTAAATAATCGGCAAAGTTTGCTTTTCTGGAACACACTATTCATGCAGAAACATGTTAATTACCTGAGAAAGATCTTTAAATGGAGAGTTCATGAGAGCAAAGTGTCCCATCAATTATACCCTTCGAAATTCTTCGTTCTGAAGGGCCCTTTGAAGTGGCCAGTTTTGAGCACTTCGGTTTGGAATGACCCTTTAATATGGTGGCCATGATTGCTCTCACTCCGAAGGAGGATTTATCCCGTTTGGAATGCAGTGAGTGAGAACTCAAGAACTGGATCGTAAACGATACAAAACCTTACACAAAATGATAGCGGTTTTGTAAATTGAATCAACCAATTGATTGGACAGATCACACTCTCGTTCACAAATCAGAAATTGTTACTTCTCTCATAAATCCGTTATTGAAAAAAAAAAAGTATTTTCCACTAACAATGATTTTAATTTTGGCTATAAGATTTTCTGTCATAATTTTTGTCCATCCATTGATGGTTCACAAATCTAAAATTTTTAAGCTGCATAAAGTTTATAAAGACATTTTGAAAGTAATCCATATGAATCAAGCAGATTAATCCAAGTCTGCTGGAGAGACACAATCGCTGGGTGAAAATGAGAGGATATTAAAAATATCTCTATTTGTGTTCCAAAGATCTGAAAAAAAATCTTATGGGTTTGAAATGACATGAAGATGAGTAAATGAATGAATTTATGGGTGAAATAGGTGCCACTGAGTGTGTCTGTAATGTAGTTCACATTATGGTTTTGCAGTTTCTTTTAACTTCCGGACAGTCATTATCACACAAGAAATTATGTCATCATGACACAATTATTATTGTGCCTGTGCCATTGTTCTAATGAGCCCAAGCACCTGGCTTTGGAATAATTTAGGGTGCTTTATTGGTTAGGCTGCTATATTACAGGTTACTGAATATGACCTAGATCACTTTAGTCAGATCCATATTATGATGTCT